TTTGTAATCTATTAAGCTATTCATAAAATAAAATGACTGATTTGAAATCTCAAAGCTCATGAGACCGGTTTGGCAAATGCACCAGGTCCCTAGAGACGCGTGAGTTGCAGTGGAGAGCGAGAGAGCAGAGGGACCACAGGCACGTGGCTTGCTCAGTGGTTTTTGTTTTGATTTGAGCCCTTTACATTGTCCACTTTGTCTTCAGCTGCTGAACTGTTAACTTTGTTTTTTCCATTTATTTTTTGCGTCTTTAGCCGCCTACACAGGAAAATGTCCGGCACCGAGCAGCTGTTTGAATCTGAAGATGACATGTACGACGAGTTTGATTGTGAAAATAATTATGAAGAAGAGAATGAGGGAATTGTGGTGAAGGAAGAAGATGATGATTCAGAGAATGACTCTGATGCCATTGAAATTGATGATGAGGATTATGAAGCAGTCAGTGGTGAGTGGGCAGTGGGTGGATTTATTTATTATTTTGTGTAACACTTTTTCATTCTGCAGAATCTCAGCAAACTGAAGCAGCGGTCAATGGAAACTCGAGCAATGTTTCCGTAGAGCGGCAGCCAAATCGTCTTCAAAGAAAAACTAAAAAGCACAAGTGTCAACAGTGCGACAAAAGCTTTGATTGTTTATATCATCTCAAACTTCACCACCGGGTGCACACTGGCGTTCGACCTTACAAGTGCACAGTGTGCTCTAAATCATTCGCACTGATTGGTAATCTCAAAACACATCAACGGGTGCACACTGGCGATCGACCGTACAAATGCCCAACATGCTCCAAGGCATTCACACAACTCAGCAGTCTGCAAACACACCAAGTAGTGCACACTGACCTCCGACCTTACCAATGCCCAACATGCTCCAAAGCATTCACCCAACTTGGTCATCTCAAAACACATCAACTGGTGCACACTGACCTTCGACCGTACAAATGCACAACATGCTCCAAAGCATTCAAAAGCAACAGAGAACTCAAACAACACCAAAAAGTTCACACTGACGCCAGATCATTTCAATGCACCATTTGTCGGCAAACGTTCAAAAGGAAAAATGCTCTCAAAATACATTTTCAAGCTAAGCATCCTCAGTAAAAGTGCCTTACCTGACTCCTTTCATAGCATAAGCATTTTTTGTAAAAAATATTTTTTCTGTTTTTCCTTCCACTGAACACTATTTGTAATTTATCAAGCTGTTTGTAAAATTAAAGCACTGATTTGAAATCTTTTTTATATTTGTTTGCAAGCACTACCGACACCGTTGGTGAACACAGCAGCCAGTCAGCTGTTTAAAAAGTGGTTTTGGCACAAATGAAATTGCTCAACTGATATTGCCCGTTTGGCCGTTGAAAAATGTATCATCTTGTGTTCGGAACACTAAAGTCGCTACTGAAAGCGACCTAATCGACTTGCCAAAGTATTATACTTACGCAAAAATGTGGCACATAAGATCTATAACAGTTTTTGAATTGAACAACTTGTGTGAATCCATTTACAAGAGCTCCCTCTAGTTGAGAGTCAGCTAAAAAGAGGACTTTATTTTCAATTGGCCATATCTCGGGAACCACTTGGAATTTCGGGATTCTGTTTACGCCAAAATGCTCCGGAGGACTTCCGCTACCGGAAATAGAGTCCAAAAAGTCCAAAAAAGATTTTGAATGTTGATACCAGTGCTCGAAACTGGGACCTTCTGCGTGTTAGGC